TGGATACCATTTAGTGAGCACTCTTGGTACTTCATTATGAACGCGCCTAGACTACACTACCCTAGTAACATAACGTTCATAAGAGGATGCAAGACGTCTCCGCGATGACCGTAGGATAATTGGAAATGGTTTATGTATTTGTTTCCGAATTAAAAAAAAAATCATTATTCAAATACTTTATAATAAACGGCATGCAACTCAATAGTTGTGGAGTCACATTTTTTCCACATTGAAACCATGTTGTGGTAAGTTGATAGTGCTCCGAAAACCTATTGGAGAGGTCCCACCCTTTATCATTTTAAGAGGGGTTAACAATTATGCCACATCTAATAGATATAATCCGAATATTCCCCAATTGGAATCCACAATGTGATGCGACGACATTGTATCAACATTGAAACAATGTTCACCTTCAACCTTCAACATTCGCAAACTCAATCCACATCCAATCCATGTTGATTCAATGTTCTGTGTTACCTGGGTGGCAGGGTCGGAATATAGATGTCGCCGTCGATCCTCCACCTAACGTGCGCATATCAAAAACTCCTCCATGGCCAAGCAGCCGACTCAACGAGACACGCGTGTTACGTTGAGGGATCCCCTTGGGTCGAATCCCCGAACGAGTCGATTCCCGGTTCCGCTGCCGCGAAGCACGCTTCATGGAAGTGTTGTTTATAATAAGCCAATAGATGTCTCTGTAATATTTCGACCCTCCCCTACCTCTCGGAGTGTCGCCTCTAGTTACACTCTCTACTCTATGGTTGGGACGGTGAAGGCCTAGGCGTTATACTCAACGACCGCACGCCACATGCCGAAAGTTCCTTCGTGTTTGGCAGGTTGCCACGACGACGAGATGTCTGCGAAGGATAAGGGCGCGTTCGATGGATTGCCCAAAAGCCTGAACTCGACTACGGACTGCCAGATGACGACCTGTCTTCCTTCCGTTCTTCCTCGCCGGCGTAAAATCCGGCCTCCCGATCGGCCCAGGCGGTGACTTTCCGGGGTTCCTCGAGGGGGCGGGAGGAGCGGCCCGGGCGGGTGTCGGGACCTAAGACCATCCGTTGGGGCCAGTCGGGTGGAAGCGGTGGGAGCGTTCGGAACGATTGCATTCGGCGGTTCACTTCGTTCGCTCCGGCTGTCTCGCAGCGGAAGGGGTTGGGGTCCGTATGCAAGTGCAAAAATCGGCCGCATCGCAAATTGGCGATGCCCGATTCTTGAGCGTGACGCTCAAGAAACTCTTGGTTTCTCGCCATCCCTCAATCCTTAGACGAAAAAGTGGCGTTCAGAACAGCTCTGGGCCCGTACCAGCTCCATTCTCGCCCAGGTGTTGGTCTCGAGAGAATTCCAATAACGTTGTGCTTGCGCCACACCAATACACGCGATGGAATACGCTACGTTCGAATCGTTCGCATCCCGTGGGAGTGCCGCAGAGCAGTTGAGGCATGATGGTGGCTATCGGGCTTATCAGGTTGCTGCTTCACGGATACTAGGTAATAAGCTGATAATACTAGGTGTTAAATTGAATATACTAGTATATTTAATATTTCTCATTTAAAATTTTCGGCTGAGGTTCGATATCGGTATATGAAGTATTTTCTAGATTTCCTCATTCCGAACCTTATCCAGCCTTGGGACTCGTTAGGACTCTGTAGACAATAAACGAATTCGCATAATCAGGGAAGCTTTTCGAGATTCATCCAACAAAGGTTTGAGGAATCTCAAAAAGGATCGATGTCGAAGTATCAATTTAATAATCGAAATACCGATCGGAATATAAAAAATGAGTTTTCGACTCGAAAGGCGATTTCGACCTTCCCGTGCTTGGAGGCTAGAAATAAGAAAGGGAATCGGAATGTTTGAAACATCGCTATTGACCCCTAAATATCGAAGGATATCCTGAAGCGTAGATAAGGTCCCCCACCGTCGAGAAGGCGGGGCCTGCCGATCGAGTCAGTGTCGCGCGCGTGCCAGCAGCGCGGATGCAGGCCGAGCGCGCCTCCACGGTAGGAGGGGGGAGGGAGGGGAGAGGTCAACGGGTGCATCGCCGGGGAGGATGCCAGTCCAAGGGGGACGGCGACGTCGCGAGGAACTCCGCGGGTCGGGCAGGGCGGTGCCGGGATTCCACGCGGTTCCGGACGGTGCTTCCAAATGGGTGCCAAATGCTTCGTGTGGGTGCCGATCGCGGTTTTGTCGGGGATGGACAAGCGAGGGCGTGGTGTGCGGACCGAATCCATCGACGCTCCATCTCGTGGGCCTCGGCGTGGTGCCAATTTCGGAATCGTACCCTGAAAACGGCGTCTCGCCCCCGATTCTATTTCCGTCTGTGCGTGTTGCTGTGGGTGGAAGTGTTCAACGGCTTCGCTTTTCGGCGTCTTTGAGAGGTGAGACGGCGTTACGTGGACGATCCGGGATGCGATGTGTTGACTGAACATTAACGGAAAAAAAACTTGATTTTTAAGGGAAAAAAATTTTAAATTAGTTAAAAGTTAACTAAAAATGGCGCGCAAAAAAAAAGCAATAAGCCCAACGAATGAGTATCCACGGCGCCTGTGGTTGAATGTGTGAAAGGAAAGGGGCAGAGGGGAGAAAGGGGGGCACTGGGCACGCTCGTGCAACGAAAATTAAAGTTATGTGAATGCGTTATCGACGAAAATTATGTGACACGAGCCGGAATGGCCGGTCCATTAGAGATCCTTCACGTGTTTAGAGCCGAGGGCCATTAGGGCGAAAATTCTCAGGCGAGTTGACTTTGCTTGCTTATAACCTCCGAGGGCCTGAGTGGTGAACACGTGCCGAATCCCATGGGTTTTATTTTTTCTGGGTCTGAAAATGTTAAAAATAAATAAATAGTGCTAAGTCCTAGTCCTATTTGTAGCTTGCGGTGTGTGTGTGTGGGGGGGGGGAATGAAGAAAGGCACTAAAAAGTTTGCTTGAAGCCTATGAATATAAATTGAGGATGATAATCCTAATTGCAGCAATCAAGCAAAGACTACTTGAAAACCGGGAATAGTAATTCACTTTCGGGAATTTTCCTTGAAAAAATAGCTCAGGAAAAGAAAAACATCATGAAAGGCTTGCGTCTCTTCACTGCATCAAGAAGCCATATATAAATACATATAAATGATGCATGTCCCACCCACGCAGTCGCTCCTGACTCATGCATGGCAAGCTATATATGCCATGCTTGCCAGCAGCCGAACGAGGCATTTCGCTCAAAGATCCGATTTGTAAGGATGAGAAATCACGTCAGAGGTATTTGCGATCGATCCACGAGGCCGCTTCGTTCTGAACTCCAAAATATGCGCATATGAACATCGCCACGGGCACCGACGCGAGGCCCATTGTCGCATCGTCGAACCGACGAAATTGAACATTTCCGGCTTTTTTATTTATATTCGTTCGCCCATGCCTCCAAGGGGTCCAGACCCTAGCGAGCTGCTGTTTTTCGCTCGGCTCGAGTCATGACCCGAGGGAACGCCGAGGGGCGTTCGAGTGCGGTCGAGTTCACGGTGTGGGGAGCTGGGGCTTAACTCCCAGTGCACCATACCATACTATATATATAGATATATCATATGCCTTTCGAAAATCCCCGTGTCCCTCCTCTGAATTCGTTTCCCAGCGAGAAGGGAATGAGACGGGAGCCACGAAAGGCCAGACTGCCATGGAGCTCGGTATCATTTTCCTTTACATGCTTCCACGGTTTAGAATTAAAAAATTTTTTTGTTATTAAAGAAAGGTATATTATGATACAGTAGACTCTTCAGATTTATTTATGACAATATCAAATACGAAACGATAAGCTATACCACCAAGTGCAAGGGGCTGAAAACCCGCGAATGCCTCCTGGCACTCAAGCTACAGCTTCCCCCCCCACACACCTCCTAACCTCATCTAAGACCCTCGCACCCACGAACCTCACATGGACTCACTCTGTCAATCGGGGACGGTGTTGATCCGGGTTTTCCACCTCCAAATTGTCTCACGAGACCGGAGCGCCGAGGGCTCCCACTCAGAAATGAAGCGCCTTCCACTCGGTCGGCTTGTTGCCCGGTGTCCCCAGCCACGGGGGCGGAGGGAGGGAGGGGAGGGGGGGGGGGAAGGGGGCCGAGGGAGTGCCGGTCGAGCCGCCCACCTGCCCTAACGCGTTTGCGCGCTTTTCGACGAGGATTGGCACCAGTGGAAAAAGTCACAAGGGACGAAGCCACAAAAATGCTGGAAAAAGCTTAAGCTTACTTTCATTATCGTTCTTAGGTAAAAAAAAAAAGTGAGTTTTGCATATGATTATAATACTAGACCACACCCGCGTCCCGCAGGATCTCCTTCAAGGGTAAAAATAATCTCAACAGACATAAAGAACTAGGGGTTAATTTTCAATTAGCAGTAAGAGAAAATACAATTAGGCGTAGAGAGCGTCGTTAAGGTCCAGGAAACAGCGTAATCAAATCCAAGAGTTCCACTGAAGAAGTGGCAACGGGAAGAAGAAGAAAACTAAATGACCTTTAAATTAATTGATTTATTAACATGTTATATTTATTGTGCCAGTCGTGACATTAAACAAGAGACCACTCTCACCTTCAAATGACCTTCATAGGTCATACGGTTAACTGCGTATCATAATGGAGTTTCACGTTTTTACCATATGTTCTGAAAGTCATATTTGCTTTTTTGACTACTTTATGCGCAGGGTACTGCAATATCCATAAAATAAACTATGATTATGACTAAAGAAATTCTTTTCATGCAATTGCAGCTCATCAAATAAATCATACAAATTAAGTGTTAGTAGTGTGTTTTCTTCAACCGTGATACTATACTAATTCAAAAGTCTTAAATAAAAAATATGAAAATATAAGTATTACTTGAATTCTTTTACAGTTGAAAGAAAAGGATACTCTTCCAGTACGTTCGCAAAAAAAGCTTACATGTGGCCTTTTGTTCAGATATCCCCCCCCCCCTGTTGTCAATATTGGCTATCTTTTTTCCGGGTGGCTTCCTTCCCTTCCCTTCCCTTCACCTCCCCTCCCCTCCCCTCCAAAAGACCAGGAAAGCTCGTCTCGTAAAGAACATTAATCCCGGCAATTCCGAGCAGGAACAAGATGACCTTCGCAGTGCCAGGTTCCAAACGGACCGGTCTCCCTCCGAACGGGCTTCGGCGATGCATTCCGGAGATGCTTATCGCCTCGAAAGCCTCCCCCCTCGTGCGGTTTGCGACCGTCGTCGGCGCCATCGCATCCCCCTTATTAACGCACTCGATACGATTATGAAAGTAAATGGTAAAGTTTACCTTTACCGGATTTGTGTAATCGTTTATGGCGAGATACGAAGCGTGATTTCGCCAAGGTGGATGACAGCGCAAAGAGCCTGCGCAACGAGGCAGCGCGCGATGGCTCACGCTGCCCCTTTGCGGTCCTGATCTGTCGCGTGTATCTCTTGTGTGCACGAAAGCCAGCCTCTGCGTGTGTCGCGTGGGTTACCCGTAGTAGCCCATGGGATGTCGCGGTTTCCAGCGAAACGATGGGCGTATCGAATTGCCTCGATCATTCCGCCGTGCTCCTCGAGGATTTATTTTGCATATTAATTATATGATGAATTTGTCACCATTTTAAGTGTTTAAACCGTTTAAACACACACACACACACACACACACACACAAACACACAAACACACACACACACACACACACACACACACACACACACACACACACACACACACACACACACACACACACACACACACACACACACACACCCACACACCCCCACACACACACACACACACACACACACACACACACACACACACAACACGCAAACCGACTGCGTATTACATAAAAGCAGCCGCATACTTATTTGAGGAAGGAGGCAGGTTACACAAGATGACCATGCGTGGAATGCATACTTGAGAACTGAGAACACGGAGTCTTCGATCACGATCCGATCAGGCTGGAGGTCGGAAGAGAAGCATAGCACACGCGTTAAGGAGACCGGGCACCCTTCTCTCCCCACTCGCACCGGAGATATAGCGCTTCTCGCGGAGTCTCGGTCGAGGAAGGACGCGGAATCGAAGAGACTTCCGAACGGGCAGGGAAGGAATAAAAGGAAAAGTCCTTGAAGGGTGAGGGAAGCGGTGGAGCTGCGCGGAGAGCCATGAGCCATGTGCAACGCATGCCTACTCGGGAGCGGCCTCACCGCTCCTGCTCCGCCCTCCCCCTTCCTTCCTCGCCCACCGTGCCAACACGGAACCGTGCGCCTGGGTAATCGGGGCGGGGATGACGCTCTGGAGCCCCAGTGCAGGCTTCGCAGGGTGTCTTCGTCGGAAGCGATTCATCGCGAGGCAGTTCGGGCTGCACGGGGGAGACGATCGAAGCCGCGCGAGTGGACCCTCCCGCCAGCCCCTCCCCCTCCCCCCAAGCCCCCAGCTTCGCATCGATCGCACGCGGGAAGAAAGGTCTGTCTTTCTCGTCGCGATCGGAGTCGTTCGGGCTGCGATCCATCCCCGCTGCCAACAGACATTAGGCCGGACCCCCTCGTTGCCGCGAGTCCTCACCGATGAGAACGTCGTCGTCGTTCGTGCCTCCCTTTAAAAGTGCTCCGAATCTCCCCCTAGCATGAAGACGCAGTGACGGTGTGACCCCCGAGCCGGCAGCGAGCAACGGCGTGCGCATCGACCTATGACCGAGGACTACGAGCGCCGAGAATCCGACACCCCTTCCGTCCACTTGAGAGCGTCTGGAGGGCTCGGTGAGCTTCCGTCTTCTTTTCTCTGGGCGGTTCTCGGTCCGTGCGGTGTGACGTCGTAGGAGTGCCTTGGGTACTTTTTGTTGTTTTTTAATTTTTTATTAATATTATCAGTATATCGTCTGTAGTCACAGCCAGTCGCAGTTCGAAGACGGAAATGCTCGTCGCCTGACAGCGTGTTGGAACATGCGTTTTGGCTCTGTATTTTTCTCCGCACTTCCCGTTGCCGCCACTCGCGGTCGATTCTCGACAGTTTCGCGATCGTCTGCCGAACGGATTTCCTCGATGTCGGCATTTTGCTGGCGAAACGTCGTTATTTAAACTCGATGCACATTTCGCAGATTTAAATTACTTTCCGAACCCACTGGCACATCACCAAAATTCGAGCTAAAAGCGGTGACGGGAGTTTCCCGGTATCGCGAGGGGGAAAATCCCGCCGAAGAACCGTCACGACGCTTCTCGGTTTCTGGCAGTCGATCAAGCTTCAAGAACTCTGTTGCTGCGGCGCGGATCCCGATCCCTTCAACGGCCCGCGTGGGTGCGCCCATTACGCTCGCGAATTGGGGATCGGACCCCGCCTGAGATTTGAAAATCGTTTGTGCCTGGATTTCCTGTGCGAGGCGAGACAGGCGAGGTGTCGCATTCAAGGGAACCGCCGCATTAAATTAAGGGTTTATGTTGACCTGATTGAAATTAACATCTCGCAAAGAGATAGTTAATTTTTTTGTTTAATCTAGTGGTTTTTCCGTTTTTTTTTTTAAAGATTTGTCAGGATTTATTTCCGGAGGGTCTCCGGAGCGCAGGGATGCCGCCGATAATTCCGCGCTCAGAAAATTAAAAAAAAAAAAGGTCGAGAACCGCTGGGAATCGACCGTCGGCGATCCCCAAGACCGGAACGAAACCCCGCTCAAATCGCCTAAAACGCCCCCATTTCGGCCAGGTCGTGGCGGGGCGGGCCGGTCGGCCTCGAAGTGCATCCGGTCCTTGTCGTCCCCCCCAGGTGGCGCGATCCGACGCCTCTCGTCGACGCTCGGGCTCCCCGTCATCCAGATCGGGCGGCAGATCATGCGGCAGGCGTCGAATCTTTCGTCGCTCACGCATTATGTCTCGGCGTCGTCGCTCTTTGAGTCGCATCACGGATTGGTTTGTCGCCTTTTTTTATGATTTGGCGTGGAGGTTCGCTAAAATCGAAGGTGCTAACGGTCTTTTTTTCCCGGGGTTTTCTTTCTAACACACTGATTCGCCCCGAGAATGAGATCATTTTCCCGGCTAGAACTGCTCTAGACGCTTTTTTTCTGCTCGTAGTCCTTTGCCACTAGTTCATCTTGCCATTAGTTCATCTTACCATTAGTTCATCTTGCCACTAGTTCGTCTTGCCATTAGTTGATCGTCGCATGAACCACTTTCGGCGGGGACGGTTTCTCGCAGCGCAGTTCCGATGCGAGATCGACGACGATGCGGAGATGACACCACGTGAATCCGTGTGTTTTTGTTTTTTTTTTCTTCCTGATGTCACGGGACGCAATAAATACCATTACGTCACCCATCCCTCCGACGCGCGCGTCGCCGTCGAATCGATCCGCGCTTGCCGAGATTACCGGCGTCGCGGGGTGGGAGTTGCCCGTCCTGGCATTTTTTATATTTTTTTATGTCATTGTCGTTCCTTATCTGAAATGCGTCGCGGTTTTTGCGTTACTCACCGTCGCATCCGTCCGGGGAATCGGATTCCGGTCGTCGCCCGCGAGGACGAGTTCATTGCGTTCGTACCGGCCGTGCCGGAGTCTAAATACGAGCCGGACCTTGCTCCCGAGCCGGCACGTGGCGTCGGAACATCTTGGATCGATCTGATGCTGCGGCTAGTTCGGGCGCAACGTGGAAAATGGATTCGAGGAAACGGTTTCTTCGTTATTGCGTCCAAGTCTTGTAATCGTTTCCATGTAAAAAAAAAAAAAAAAAGTTAATAAAAATCTCGGTTTTTTTTTTTCATGTCGTCGATGATATATGGTCCATGATGATGATCTCTTGAAAAACCTTAACGAGTTTTTTTTTCTTGCGGTGGGTCGATAGACGTTGTTTCCCCCTTCCTCTGCACGTTTCTGCGCCCTGGCGCACTCAGCAATGCATCGGCGTCCCTCGCCGGGAGAGGCCGGGATCGAATTGCACGCGCATTTTTTTGTCCCGGCCGATCGGAGAAGCGACTTAAGTCGCCTTCAAAAAGGCCTTGGGCGGTTTTTGCGTGCTTGCGTCGTCTTGGGGGCGGGGGGGGGGAGGGAGAGATGGAAGAGGGTGCAATTAAACTTATCATCGGTGTCAAGGCGATAAAGATTGAGAGAAAACACAGGCGTGCATTGTTTTACGACCCCATGGAATCGATGGCCCGAGTTCGTCGGAATCCAGTCGACAGGAAGCGAAGGAGAAGACAGGTCGTGTCAACTTTCGAGCGGGCCGTGTTTTTTTTTTCTTCGGATTTTCGCTTTTTCTGGTGATGCCGGACGGAGATATCCAGCTGGACGAGGCGCAGGTCGTGCGGAGGCCGAGGCCCGGCCGGCTGAGCCAGCCGGTGGTGACGGCCGGGCCGTCGTATGCGTTCCGTCGGTTCACGGTCGCCTTCTCTTTCCCGTCTGTCCGTGGATTTTTTTTTCTGACGAAAATGCGGCGTGGTGGGTGCCCGAGGGATTTTTTGTTTTAACCGGTGGGTGGATTTTCGTTTCAGTCGTCTAGCGACCCCATGTTCCAGCCAGGGATAGGTGCCGTCTTCGACTCGTACTTCACCGAGAACGATGTGGAGGGATTCAGGAGTTTTTTGGAGCGGCAGAAGCGGAATGTGGACGAAACCGATGAGGTGAGACGCATGGTCTGAGTTTACGTCGCACTGGAAAATTCGACCAAGTACGAAAAAAGATCGGTTCTTTTATTTTCCTCCAAACAGTGCGGGCTGACCCCGTTGATGAGGGCATGTTCCGAAGGGAAATTGGGATTTGTGCAGTTGCTCATCGAACATGGTGCTGACGTCAACGCGACAGACCTCGTGAGCTTTCGCTCTTTTATAGTTCTTTATTTTTGGGGCCCTCTGGTCGTGGTTCCTTCCGGCGTGGAGCAGAGGTCAGCAGTAGATGCATTGATGTTTGCAGGACAAATGGACCCCACTCCTGTATGCAGTCCAGCAGAACGCCATCGACGTCGTGACAGAGCTCTTGAATCAGAACGCCCTCGTCGACTGCGTCGAAAACGTGAGTTAGCAGGGGTCGCAATCTGGGGGGGTCACACCGTCCCGGGAATTTCGCTGCGACCGCCGTCGTCTCGTGCAGAGCGGCTGGACCCCCCTGCTCTGGGCGTGCTACTGCGGGCACCAGGAGATCGCGACTGCGCTCGTCGAGCAGGGAGCGGACGTCCACTTCCTGGGGCCGTTCCACGGGTCGGGGATCCTCTGGGCCGCGGGTCGGGGCCATGCGGAGATCGTCCAGCTGCTCCTCTCCAAGCACGTCAACCCCAACCTGGGGGACAAGGTGAGGCTCGCGTTGCGGAGGATCGCAGTCGGAGACTGACTTCTGACCGGGGAGGATGCTCTCTCTCGCTCTCTCGTAGTTTGGCTCCACGCCGCTGCTGTGGGCCTGCAGGAAAGGGTACACCGCGATCGCTGCGGCTCTTCTGGAGCACGACATCAACGTGGATGTGGCCGGCATAGTGAGTCTTCGGTCCGATCGGACGCGGTGATTTTGCGGCTGAAGTGTGGCTTCTCATGTATATGAGCTATGAGTTCGTGTAAATATGGCTTAGGTGCAGATAAACACTCATTGCGCAGATTATCTGCTCATAAATCCTATTTATACGAGCTCATAGTTCAAACACGAGCAGTCATATATGAGGAAAATCATAGCGTCTGATTGCAGCTCTAATGACTACGCTGGACGTGGCGTTTCCCCTCTGGGATGATTCCAAAAATGCAAATGCATTTTTCTCTTTCTCTTTCCTGCAGAATTCCTGGTTCCCTCTGATGCTGGCTGCTCAGGGAGGTCACGCAGAGATCGTCGATATGCTGTTGGAACATCGTGCAAACGTGAATGCCGCGGATAAGGACGGCTGCACTCCCTTGATGTATGCGTGCAAAGAGGGAAGCCTCGAAGTTGTCAATGCTCTGCTCAACCATGGAGCGTATGTTAACGTTCAAGTAAGTGTCGTCTTTTCTCTCTAAAAAAAAAAAATGTACACAGCTTCATATACTCCTTGAATCTGATGTTTAAAATTTTTTTTTCTCAGGACAGGAAAGGTGACTCGGTACTCATCTACGCTGCTAAGATGGGCAATCGGACGATTGTGAAAGCCCTAATCAAGAAGTTTGCAGATGTCAACCTGTCGGGAAATGTAAGTTGCGATGATGAGCCGAGTCTGAACGACCGATGTAACGTGGTTACAGTGAAAATCAAATACGAATCAAAATAAGAATTTCTGGCGTAGAAAAGGATGCATAGCTTCCTTCCCCTCGATGACACCCACGAATGAAGGCAGTGACAGTATTGAAGAAAAAAAAAGCAAAATTCGGTCATCGCTTTCACTTGGATCCCTTGCAGGACAAGAAGACAGCGTTGTACTGGGCCGTGGAGAAGGGCCATGTGGGCGTCGTGGAGACCCTGCTCTCTTCGAATCCGAATCTGGAATTAGCCAATAAGGTGACTGCTGTCGTGGGATGTTTTGAGCGGTCGAATTGCCTGCCTTATTCAATGTCGACTTCTTGGGTGAAACGCAGGATGGGGACACGCCTTTGCTACGAGCCGTGAGGAATCGAAACGCAGAGCTTGTGGAGATGCTCATCGAGAAGAAAGCTCGTGTGACGGCCACAGACAAGAAGGGGGACACCGTGCTTCATATTGCCATGCGAAGTCGTCTCAAGGTTCTTTTTTTCTTTCAAACTCTCTGATCGTTTTTGGGCAAGGATGAGTATCGTTCGAATGCCTTTGGATCTCTTGCAGACTATTGTTGAAATCATCTTGAGGAATCCCAAGTACAGTCGTCTGCTATATCAGCCGAACAAGACTGGAGAAACGCCATATGCCATCGACATGAGGCATGATAAAACAATTCAGGGCAACTTACTTGGCACACGTGAGTAAATCGCATTATGAGGTCTTGTGTCGTCCTTGCGTTCTGCCTCTTCATATGATTTTTTTAAATGTTATGTCGTTAACTAGGTCACGTGAATGCGAGTGCAGAGAGCGAGGACCTCCTGGGTTATGATCTCTATAGCAGTGCACTGGCCAACATGCTGAGCGAGCCACAGCTCAATACGCCAATCACTGTGGGCTTGTATGCCAAATGGGGCAGTGGGAAATCCTTCCTCCTCAATAAATTACGAGGTCTCTAGCCGACTTCCATTTGCGGTTGATGCACCCTTTTCTTTTTTTTTGTTGCTAATCTTCGTCTTTCTCTAGATGAAATGAAGCATTTCAGTCAGCAGTGGAGATGCGAGCCTTCGTTCAAATTCTCCCCTTTACTGTTTGTGATCATCTGCCATGTGTCCCTCCTGTTTGGCCTTACCTGTGGCCTTGCGGTTCCAAGCCAAAAGTTATTGGTTGGTCTCGGTACTGGTTCAGGGGTCTTGGCCATCTCTTGCTTCCTTTCATTCACCCTGTGGCTGCAGACCAAGAAGTATGCACTTTTTTTGTACTCCAAGTTAAAAGTCTCCTTGAAGAGGAGACTTTTAGTTTCTCAGTGGGAAAACTTGTTCTTTCAGGTATCAGGAAGGCTGGCCTGCAGTGGTGGGGGCAAAGATTGCCAAGTGGCTCAAAAGTCTCCAAATCGTCCTGTCAGTTGCCTTCTGTCACCCTCCTGGATTGGAGCAGTATCTTTCTTTGGAGGATACAACCATTCAGCCTGTCAGGTATCAAAATTTTGTTGCTTTCTCAGTGATGAGGATCCACTCCAATGTTTTAATATAACTGTCTTGTGTTATTTTAGGTTTATATTTGGGGCAAACACAAAGCTGACCAGTGGTGCAAGTGGTTCCTCAGTAATTCACATGATTGCTTCTTTATATCATGCAATAGAGATCCAATATGGAACGGTTGGAACTCGTTTCTTCAGGGCATTCAAACCAAGTCCAGGTTAGAGATTGAATGTCTTGTCTTTGCTGGGGTTCCTATTATTGTAGCATTTGCAGGAGGTACACACGGCTGTGGAGTTGTTATAGTCCTTGAGAGATGTAATCTCACACCTTCCCAGGAGTCCCCATGATTTGCAGGAGGTATGTGGGGCACTCAGAAAGTTTCTGGATGTGACTTCATGCAAAGGGTGACACATGAAATCTTTTCTACACCTTCAACCCCATGGGATTTGAGACTGTGTGCAAATTTTCAAATATATACTTCTTCAAGTATTCAACTTATAGCATTTCATACCCTGCACGCCTGTAAGTTTTTTTGTATGGCCTCAGTCACAACTGTTTGGTGCGAGGTTCATCTGTCAGTGCTCACCACTCCCTTTAAAATTCAGCAAGTCAGAAGAACGCTATGCAGGATCGCTATGCAGGGCACCACCTGCAAATGCACCTTGCACCCTGGCAATGCTCTGCTCTTGTGTTGAGCCACGCTGGAAATCCCAAAAGTGCTTGTGGTTCCATTGTTCCAAGTTTCATTGCCAGATAAAAAAAGCTTGCAGATATACTGGGCATAAAACACATAACCCAATGAGGTATTTATTTGAAAACTTGTACACAGACTCATGTCAAGTGGAGCTGAAAGTGTTGGAAAGCTTTCATGTGTGACCCTATCCATGAAGTTACATCTGGAAACTTTCTGAGTGCCCTATGTATAAATGACTGGAGTTGGTATGGGTTACAGGAGCTTCATTAGGTAGAAGGCTTAGTGAGAAAACATGTGCAGGGCTGGGAAGGTGCCAACAATATGCAATGAAAAGGAAAAAGACACAGAGACCATCTCAGGGACATCTTTTCATGTAACAAGAAAAAATTTATTTTGAAGTATATCTTTAGTAACTTCAATTCCAAGGAGTGCAAAAAAAAATCCCAAAATATCCTAGCAATGAATGGTACAGAGGGTTGTTTACACTTTATTGAAATAAATTTTAGCTAGTCCTGAAAGCTTTCATGTGTTAGGGTCTTTTTGCTGCATCATCGGCCAGCTAATATAGTATTGTAAGTTTCCTATATGAATGTGAGAAGGCTTATTCTTGTAGAATGCCTCCAAATATCAACATTTGGTGGGAGAGGTACATTACTGCCCCTTCCAAGGAAGGTTAGTCATATTCTGTGATCATAGACAGGTGCAAGAATAAAGGTTATGTGGTCAAGTGCAAACAACCCACAATACATGACAAGCTACATCAATCCTTGAAGATACAGAGAAATTATTGCAAAGTTTTAAACCATTCATTTATGGTTTTACTCCTTTACAGGTCAAATGAGCTTTGAAGATCATATCTGCCTGGAGCATAGATTAGGGACGTCACAGGAGATGACAAAGTTATTGTGGGTGATGGGTGGAACTTATATTTCAAACATGCTCTATGGTAGGAGTGTCTAAAGTTTCAGAGTGGTTTGCCACATTCAAAGCAATAAGGAATGGTATAGGCTGGCTAGCCCCAATTTTTTTTTCAATCTTTAATAAATGAGAAATGCAATGAGGACGCTTAGGGTATAACCCAACATGGATTTGACCCATCTAACATGCATTTTCTGGAGTGTGAAAAATGTAATGCGATAGATCTGGCTTGAGGGTCCTACTTTGGACATCCTATTCTACAGGGTATTATGGTATATGCTTCATGGAGATTGAAGCCAATGAGTCCCAATTTTCATGGCAAAAATGGCAGGGAGCATAAGACATTCCTCTCTAAGACTGAAAATGAATATATCACAAGGCCCAAAAGTAGTAAAATCCATTTTATTGAAAGGGATGTTGAGGTATGTTATTTGAAGTCCAGATTAGATGTATAGAATGAAAGTAAATGGTTATGTAATAATTTAAATTAAATATGGTAAGGGAGCATGATAAATGAGAAGGCAAATATATATTTTATGGCACTTTGAGTTGCTGTGCAATGTTTAAACTCTTTTGTGCAACCAGTTCACAATTGTGGAATGTGACTAAAAAAAAATACTTAATTACTTTTTACTTATTTCATCCATAAATTCTGATGAGATGCTTCTATGGAAGCAGGGGCTCCAACTAGATATTGTTTGCATAATGACAATGAATAAAGTCTAAGTTGTCTAAGTTATAGCTGATATTGTCACAACAGCAAATCTTGAAGGTCAATTTGTGCATTGGATGAGATTATGGATGCTTTTCTGCAAGAATAACCGAGGACAATATGCAGGAAAATTTTTGAGCAGAAGGGTTTAGGCATGTTGCTCTGCATTGTACATTATTTGAAATTAGAGAGTGCTTTGAAATGTGCAGAAGGATAAGTAAGAGCTAGTTGGTGATACATGAGTGAAATATGCAGATTTTTATGAAATTATTCTAGTCCACCATGCAACTTGATTCTTGAGGATCTGCATACATTCTGAGGATCCATGACAGCTTCATCCCTTCTTATTCAAATTAAAGTGTCTTTTTGGAGCTGAAAAAATCACCTCAATGAGTTTGCTGGAGTTGGTTGCTGTATGTGCATTCCCGATAGCTTTCAATGCATTGGTCACTAAAGTTTGCTTCTGGATTGTTCTCAATCCTGCAGTCTGTTCTGAAAGCAGCACAGAAACCAGTACTAATGAGATAGGTTGAGACTGATCCCTACAGGTTGACATGGTGGTTGGCAGATGGTCAACTTTGAAGCAAGTGAGGAGGGACAACAGGTTGCAGCCTTACAGACCACCCCACTACTCCTCCCACATTCAGGGGTGTTGGCTGTTTCATACTAAAACTAATTGTTTTGCAGATAATGCAGTATAAAAAATGCATGGAAGGGACAGACAACAGCAATCAGAGCCAATATACCATTACAAAAACTTTTTTAATTGACAAAACACCATTCTGGAGGATAGTCTTAGAGGTCTGTCAGGTGAATAATGCCTCTTTTTGTAGGTAAACCTTTGTTTGGAGTTTATATTCTTTTTCCCTCCATGGCATCCCCTCGTAGAGTTCATGAACATACAATTTCATTGCCCATGAAGACCACAACCAGTGAGCTGTGAACATTTTGAGTATTTGTAGGATAGGAACTACTCATTGAATAAAATTATAGCCATCATAATAATAACATAATTATAGTATACAACATTACACGTCTGCTCTGCCTCCTGCAGGGATCACACTGAATCAAAAATAACCATTCTCTCTCACCATGTGATTGTTTTTATCAAATTTGCTTGTACTCTTGATTTCTAGTCCATTCCTCTTCTCCATGGAGATTCCGGAAACTTTGCTGCGTCCCATATTTTTTGATAGTGGAGTTCACTCTGTTGTGCATCCTGGCTTTGATAGCCCTTTTGGTTGTCCTCACAGCCTATCCACCATCTGAAAGCAGGTAAATATCCCTGGCATTCACTTGTTCGGGCAAGAGCACATAGCTGAGTGTGCTCTACTGTCACTTTGCTGCAGTAAATTTGGAATGACTTTATACTTATTTAGATTGACATCATGAATATCTGATTGATTTATTATAGAATTTTTAATATGGGAGTATGAAGTCATTTTTGAAAAGAAAAATTGTCAGTCCAAATTCACTGTATCGGTAGAGCCTATTTGTTCAGCAGTTTTCTATTTGGCAATGTTAGCGCCAAAAGTGCATTTGCACCAACTACCAGTTGGAAGGATTTAGTGAAGTATTGACATTAGTACTAGCATGCCGAATTCTAGCTGTAGATCATCATTTGTATTGTTTGAGATTCCTCCTCCTCTTCTTTCTTAATTTCTTCTCATTTCTCAGAAGTTCTTGAGGAAGTGCTTGCCAGGAGCTGTGGATCATACTTACTCCAAGCATTTTGTTTCAGTATAGTGAGGTATCTGCACAGTGTTTCCAGTCCAAGTTGGGATGTTGTCTATAGCAATGGTTCCTCAAGTAGCATTCACTGATGGCCTGAAAAAAAAGGAGAATCACATCTTCCTTCCAAAGGCATGTCTTTCAGTAGATAGATGGTAATGATGCAGGATGACATGAGAAGATTTGAACCATTCAAGCTGTTATACGTTGTTCAAAAAGTATTATTTTTGTGACTTATTCAGCTTTATGCTGCACCCTTTAGCACTGCATCATCAGGATTGAGCCCTAAGCAGCATTATTGCCAGGATGACGGAAAATGGTGCTAGAGTTGGAAATTTAGTGAAGTTATTGATGAATCCTGCTATGGCTTATGATTTTTTCCCCCAGTGACAGTACAGAATGGTGGTTAGTGATGGACAAAGGAGGGGATGAAAAGGTCATAACATTAGCTGCCATTGTCCTTGGCGTTGTCATTGCTGTGATCCTTACTGCCAATATCACCACCTGGAGTCATTTGTTTCTGGCTCTTCTTGTACCACCGAGGAATCATCTCAGGAAAGCATTCCATATGATGGGAACTGGCTCCTCTGAAGGCTACATCCAGTCTATGAAGAAGGAGGTTCAGCTCATGGCTCAAACTGTGAGTTTCCAATTTGATATTTTCAGATCTCAAACATGCCTGACATACTTTAATTTTTTGCAATGGGACATAAAACGAGGAGCTTTTATAGTGAAGTACTTATATGTCAAATCAAACACAAAAAAATTCCTCTTTCTGTTTTGATTAAATTTGATGTGCAGGTGTGACTCATAAAGAAACAAGAGCTTGTCAAGTTGTTTGGTCCTGGAATGAACTGTTCTTGAAATATAGCATCCAAAAATGTTGGGTCACATGATATACTGACTGACATTGAACTCTTCTTGTATATATAATTTTAGATTGAACCTATAGAGGCATCAAACCACTTTTACTCACTGATGGATAACTTCTACTCTTCCTGTGCAGGTCCAGGGTATGGATGCTTTTATGAAGCAGAAGTCTAGACTGGTGATCATTATTGATGGACTAGACAGTTGTGATCCAGAGGAGGTCATGCATGTCTTAGATGCAATTCATGTCCTCTTCATGGAGGATTATATGCCCTTCATCATCATGTTCAGCATTGATCCACATATTGTTGTCAAGGTAAGCAGATTTTACTAAAAAGGAAAGAACCTGTCAAAACTGCAGCTTTGACCTATGCTTGATGTTACATTGTGCAAATGGTTGCATTGCCTCAGCCCCTGTGGTGTTTTAGGGGGATATTGGGATACAGTGGGATGCTGTTTTTTTTGCCTTAAAATATATATGGAGTTGGATGTAAACTTAATGGCAGAGCTGTCATAGCACTTATACTCGTGGGGGACAAATATAAGATTTGATTGCGATCGTGTGGTCTAAGTGGAAACAGCCATTGAAGTTTGACATTTCTTTGCTTTTACTAAGTTTTTTGCTTGTAGGATAATTGACCCAGACTAAAGCCTTGATTTGCTAAACTCATTTCATGGGCAGTGGTTGGTTCCTATGCTAAATCATTCTTGTTTTTTTTTGTCAGATTGCTTCAATGAATCTTGCTCCAGAAAAATAAATGTCCAAAATGGTGGCTTGGGGTACTGTGAGACAGTTGATTGTGTAGTAGACTGGGAGATACCCAGACAGTTCTGCCGTAATCCATGCTGCAGTTCATTAAAAAAAAATTGATTAATTGAAAATAAAGTTACTGCAAAATAACCTCAAGTATTGCATAATGATATTGAAAAATTACAAGTCATACTCCTTGAATTAGATGTTTCTGCCTGTGACCCTCATTAGGAGTGATCAGAAGGTGGAAGGTATTTCCTTTTGTGCTGAATGTAAGCAGTAAGATATAAAATTGTGAGGACACTTTTTGGTGTGTCATTTATTGGAAGCAGGGAGTAATTGCATTTTTCAATTGCATGTTGATTGCATTTGAAGTGTCAACATTTAGCAGAAAACTCACTTTGAATGAATAGAGCCTTGACATATTTTATAGTCAGGAATGTTCTCTCATGGATGAACTATTTAGATTCATAACTATTTTCCCGTCAAAAAGATTTGTTGAAAAATTTTGAAAAATTGTGCCTCTAATATGACAACACTTGCACTTGAGATGTGTCAGATATGGGTCAAAGAGGTGGTCTCTGATCATGATATGAAGAATTCCAATGAGACAGTTGCACATAGACACATCATGATCTATAACTAGTACAAATATGTTGAGACAATACAAACATACATCAGTGAAGACCTTTCTTATTGGGAAACTGTATCAGAGCCACTCAGTGGTACAGACTATGGAGCTGTTGCTATCAGCTAGTTGTAGAGCGACAGTGCCACTTCAAATATCTTGAACCTAAAAGTAATAATGTGGTTAATTTTAAAGTATAAAAAAATTCCAACACTTTTACAGTTGGTTTAGCTCAGGGGTGTCAAACTGGCGGCCCGTGGGCTGGATTTGGCCCGCCAGTCCATTTTGTCCGGCCCGCAAAGTCCTCTTCAACAGTTGCTTACAGAAACTAACTGCAAATTTCAGCCTGTTTGCATTAAAGATAAGGCGCTACATTTCTGTTGTGGCCCCTAATCACCCTGAAGGCTTCTATCCAGCCCCCAGTCTAATCAAGTTTGACACCCCTGGTTTAGCTCATGGAAGCAGAACTGCAGATACACAAGTCAGGAAACAACAGGTCAAACAAAACTCAAAATAAAATTATTGTGATCTCCCACTTCAAATGGTACAGGAATCAGAACTTGAATCTTCAGATTCACTTCAGATGCATCTCTGCTTATGCATCCAGTGTTCCTTTGTCACTTTGACCATTACATTGACTTTTTTTGTTGAATCCTTTCAAATGATGAAACTTTTATTCTCCATATATGGTACTAGAGTTACATGTATTTCAAGTATTGTTGAATTGCTACCTCTGTTATTACCAAGAAGTTCTGTAATAGTACACCATCAGAAAATCAATTCAATTATTGTATTGTGACATTACCATTGAGTACAGTCTATTTTCACTTAGATGCATCATGAGAATAATAAAAAAAAGGCCTACTGGGACTATAAATCAATTATCTTCACATTGAAATCATATACTGTTGTTTCTGGCCACTCAGACTCAAGTATGGTTACCTATCCGATTGTTTTCCTGCAGGCTGTCGAGGCAAGCATTAATAAGGCTTACCAAGACACTGCAATCAATGGCTATGATTACTTGAATAACTTGGTGCACCTCCCCTTCTACCTCCAAAACTCTGGTCTACGAAAGGTGAAAGTTGCACAGACTACAGCAGGTCTGCACTTTGCAAGGAGAGTTTGGGTAGAATCAGAAGAACCTCTTGAAATTCCAGTGAGTCCCAGTTGCACTAACATTTTTTCCTACTTTGTTTGAAGTCTTCAATGATTCTCATACTGTACCTCTGATGCTAGGGAGGGAGCAGGTCCCTCCGTTCAGAATCCATGCTCAGCGTGCGCCACCGATCCCTACGGCCACGCATGAAACTGAGAAGCAATGAGAGCCTGGCAAGCAGTGTCACAAGCAACGTTCATAATCGTGCTGCCATGCCTGACTTCACCAAAGTCCTGCTCACAGATGATTACTTTGCAGATATCAGTCCTAGGAGGGTGAAGCGACTCCTTAACATCCTCTATATCACTGGTGAGTCCCAAGAGCACCTGCCATTTAAATCCATTGCAGAATTCCCACATAGCACATGGAGGTTGGTGACTTGAAATATCTGATCTATAGGCCGTCTGCTGAAAGCATTCAAGATTGAATTTCAGTGGTACCATCTGGCAATCTGGGTGAACATACTGGAGCAGTGGCCATACAGAAGTTCTTGGATCATTGTGTACCATGAGCAGTACTCTGATGCTCTGGAAGATACTACTCCCCTAAGAAATGTCTATGACTTGTAAGGAGATGTGGTGCACTCAAATAAAAACCAAGCGTTAATTACACAAACTGAAACTGAACTAATTTTTTGCAGGGCCCTTCCTTACATCCCCCAGTCCAAAGAAAAGGAACCACTGCTGGAAATAGATCGAGATGAAAAGAAATTCAGCATATTGCTCACACTGCACAAGAACTCCTTGCAAGTTCTCCACTTGAAGATGTTTCTGCCCTTCACCATCAATTTGGATCCATATCTTCAGAAGATAATTAAAGGTGATGTTGCTTCATCTCATGATTATGTTGCAAAAGAAAATCAAGTTTAGAGTGAATGTTTTGTTATTTTGCAGAGGAGTGGCCTATTAATGAAAGTGGTGTTACTTCAGGAAATGCTCCTGCACCTTTTGAACCAGGAGTACAGTCAATGTTCCCATCCCTAGCAATCAATGTGCCTATGCAGTATTCACAGCAACAGAACCTACCTGATGCAAAAAATGTCTTCCAGAATTCTGCTCAGTTACACATTCTTCAGAATCCTCCCTACAATTTTGTCTCCAATCCATGGCTTTTTGTGAGTGGGGGATATCAAGTCTTCCATCGGTGAATGGCCGTAATTCCACACATCTTGGCATTAATTCATTACAATAAAATGTTTGCAGTATGGAGGGGTGAATGCTGGAAGTGCTTGGGATCCTTATGCCATGTCAGGCATCACCACCTCTGTGGATGCTTCCTCACTCCTTGAGGTGGGCATCTCCCCTTTATTCTGGATCCTTGAGTGTAGGCAATATTGGACATAGTGGTCTGAGTATCTTGCATTCTCCTCCATCAGGCTAATGTTCCTCTGAGATCTCTGGATGCACCTGGTGTATGTCAGCTGCTGGAGCACATCCCAAGCCTTTCACAGACACGCCTCCCAGAATATAAAGCTTCTCTGAAGTCCAACAACATCAATGGCTCTGTTCTCCTCTCATGCAATCTTGATGATCTCAAACAGGTCTCTCCAGATATTCATATTCTTTTGCCATAGGTCTACCTGCATTGTCTTAAAATCACTGATCACATTCTCTAAATCGTTCTTATAGGTGATGGGCATGTCATTTGGAGATTGGGAGCAGTGGAAGGAGATCATCCTTCAGTTGAGAAGTCGTGAAAGGAAGTTACTGCAAGGGCAGAGCACTGGCACAAATGTAGATGGCCATGCAGAAGACTTCCCCCGTACGTCTTCTTTCTTGGATGAGCAGTTGATGGGCTCCTGTGTCTTTTTTAAATATAGTACTAGACAAAATAGGAGGCCATATCCATATATTTGTTTTCTCAGTTCAGTGGTAAGGTTGGAGGTGGAGGAGGACTGAAGGAACAGATCAGGCTACATTTCAGTATAGGTAGAAACTTCTTCTCAAATGCATGTGTATGAATCTGAAAGTACTTAACCTTCTGCTCTCTGCTTTCCTCATAATGCTATGAACAATATTGGACCACATTTTACGACTGAGTAAAAATAGTTAAAGTGAAAATATACTATAAGAACTGAAGCATTAGGGACTACTTTAGTGCTCTCTACTATTGATTTTATGGTGAAATTACAGCATTAATGGTCTGCAAGGGTCACTGTTGGCTCGAGTTGATATGCAAAGGTAATATGTAGGTAAGAATGACTAGAGATTGAAGTTTCCAACAAATAATAAGTTCTAACTCCCTTATTGCATTCTTCAGTTTCAACTAGGATAAATTAGATAACAGTACATATGATACTCCCCTCAGGTCAAAAAAAGAGAGCCGAGGCAACTCAGTACCTTTCCAGTCGTGCCACATCTCGACAGCAGACGCTTGAGAAGCAGGTAATTGTAGTGCATATGTACTTGTTTGTATCGTCTTGACCCACAATCCTTTTTCTGCATGCTCAAGTAGACTTTTTGAAGCAGAGTAGACTCTTCTCCATTTTGTCCTTCATATAGGATGAAAGTTTGGAGGATGATCTGGCTCTCCTTCTCCCTGAATACTTCTTGCATGAGAGTTCGCATGGTCCCTTTGACTTTCATTTTACATGATGAGTCGAATTCAATAGTGCCAAGGACACCCACGAGTCTTTGTGTTTCAGTGTGAACCATGAAGTGGTTCTTGAATAAAATAGAGTTGATGTTGCCTGTATGCTGAGATTGGTTTGTTACTCATAGTGGTATTTGCATGTCACCTTGTAGACATTCTTACCTTCACACAAAACCTTGACTGTGTTTCATATGAAATTTGCATGGTGCTTATGAGAAGTTAACCATGTTAAGGTTGTTAGACTATTGGATATTTTTCTTTATGATAATAAATCCCAATAGCCAATATATTTCTTGCATTTTGCTTTTTCAAGTGATGAAGCTCATATCAGCTGATTGTGTTTCCTGTTTGATCTGCATGTTGCATGATTTGCATGCCAATTGTATTGCAAGGCATGGTGGTTTGAAAGAAATTGAAATCTATTTATTAAATTTATGTTGGAACAGGCATGTCATCAACCCAAAAGCATACATCTGGAAAATCACATGCTTATCTTTCATTGTTTATCATTCACGTACAATACAGCCAACACTTCAAAGGCTCAGCTCCCACTAGTGCTCAGCCATCAATGCCACAATTGAGTGACATTTTCTCCCTTTTTTTTGTTCTCCCTTTTTCTTGCTACCATTAATGCCAGGTAACAATGGAGGACCAAATGATTCAGGGTGTTCTCAGTTCAGTGAGTGAAATGGCCAGCATGGATTCCCGGAGGGAAAGCTTCAGTATTTACACTCCCTTCTCCTGTATTCCATCTGATGTCGGTAAGGCTCTTTGGATCTTGGACTGTAAAACAAAACAAGGCCTTGGGAACTTGTGAATGTAGCTGGTTGTTGTATTCCTTCATGATTCCAGAAGAGGACAGCAGTGAAGTCAATTCACGAGCAGATGGTGAAACCGATGTGTTGTACTTGAAGACATCTTCATTAGGAGGGGCAACAGGTCTTTCACAAGGCTCTCTCCTCCATGCAGAAGGAACCTTGCCGTGCACCAACAATACGTCCACTACCCAGAGTGAATCCTCTCCAAGGTAATTCCCAGTTCTTTTTAGATGGCAAGATGAAGCAAAGGAGATCTCAGTCCCCATTTTGGTTCTTTCTTCAGAATGAACTTGACACCCTGCAACAGTGTATGTACACCTGTCCAACTAAGTCCCAGACCTCATAAATTCAGTTTCAAGCGGATGAATTGGCGAAAGGACACACCATTGGAGAGGCCAAGAAATGCAACAGCATCCTCTCTTCCAGGAACACCACGACCTAGGAGGTCATCCCTTCAAAATAACATAGCCGAATTGATTCATAGTGGGATTTTGGAGAAACGGGCTCAGATCAAACGGAAGGCTTTAACCCGATCATATACATTCCAGGAGAAAGATGACCCTCCTGATCTATCCCTCAAAACCTTAACAGATCCCGGTGAAAAAACAGAATATGAGAATATACCCCTGTTAGATAGTATGTGCCCACCTCAGTGGTGAATGTTACCTTTGCACAGCCCTCTATTTTAAGAATAAATGTTGCAGTGATCCATGATGGTAGTTTTTCTCCACCCTTGTCCAGCTGACACTGACAATTCTTTCCTTGGAAAGCAGCAGGAATCATATTACTCCCATATGAAGTTGGCAGTCTTTCTCATTTACCAGGGTAGATCCCAAATTCTTTACTGCCCTGCAGTTGTGTGACCATTTTCACACAACAGCAGGGGCAATGTCCCAGAGAGCAGGATTAGCATCTATAGGTTATGCAGAGGAATCTTACATTGTAATTTCTGGAGGCTGGCAACATAAAAATTTTCAGTCAGTGGTTAGAACATCTAACCACCTTTTTACTGCACATTTTTACCCTGAGAAACAGTGGTCAAGACTTGCAACCACCCCTCTAGAGTAGTTCATGAGCCATCCAGCGTTTGACTTCCTGAACTCTGCATACAAGGAAGAACACAATTGAAACTACATTCTAGCCAGCAAAAGCTGCATTTCATTAAATTCACGTTAAACTTCTAAATCAAATAGCATGCCTCAAAGGGTTAAGGAAGAAATGGGGACCAATTTTCATTATGTCATTATGAGTGAACAAGAATGGACTCTTGATGGAGAAGATGGAGCAAGCATGGTTAGGAGGGTTGAAATCACCTGACCCCCTCTGCACGCAGGTGTCTTCTTGGATGCAATCCTTCTCATCCTATTAGCCTCTCTCCCAGATACACACACAGGATTTTGTCCACTCATAGTGAGAGGGAATAAAATTTAAAAATTTTTTCATAATCCCTGCATTCCCAAGACTTCATCCCCCCATTATAGTGCATTATGTTTTGAATAAACACAATTGCACAATTGCAGTACAGAAGACTAGCTTTTAATGAAAGCAGGGCCTTTTATACTGCATATACTCTTCTGCATATTAATACAGTCGACTGCATAATGGAATTATTTTGCTTATTGGAATATCATTGCATGGTCCTGAATTACGATACAATACAGCTGATAGTTTCGGTTATTGGAATACTCCGGATAATAGAATGAAGTTTCCTGGTCCCGGGAGTATTCCAATATGTGGAGTCAACTGTAATAGTACAAAATAGTGATTGGAATTATAACCCCATCAGAAAAAAATAAGGTTGACATATGTATGCTTCCATCGTCTCTCCATTCTGATGAACTCAATATACAAGCCTGAATCGTATGTTGTTCGAGACCTTGTCTTTTGTTTTTTCTGAGGAGCAGAAACAATTTTATTGAGCACAGGTGAAATTAGGATACCTTTGACATTGGCCAACAAGAACCTCCATCAAGGGTGAACATCCCCAGTCCTGACATCCCCAATGACAATCTGAGTGAGAATTATTTATGAGTTGTGCTAACAAGTGCTCACCATAGAACTTTGGGTTTCCCTTTTGGTTGCACTTCATATCTTATTAGAAAAGAACCCATTCAATTGCACCCTGCATATAGGATGGGCTTAACCAGAGTTGCTGGTTCGTTGGAAATGCCAACCCTCTCCAAAACCATTTTGTTAGAAATCACACAAGCAGGTAATCAGAGCTGTAGACTTTTGCCATTTCTTCCCCTGGATACCTTCAAAACACAGTTGCCGAATCAGATAACTGTTTGGACCGAATATTCCTGTCAAAACAGTTAGACCATATCTCCTGTCGATCAATCAAGTACATACCTGACCTGATCCCTTGTTATGCAGAAAAACGCTGTGAAGGTTTCTAAGTCTCCAAGCTTATGGAAACCCCATTTACAACACCAAACAGCATATGAGAGTCAACAAGGCTATGATGTTGCAGCTGGATTTCAAAGGGTGGAGGGGAGAAGACCATTGTCCTTCACAAAAGGACAATGGTCTGTTTTGAGGGGGGGACAGGGCACCAGACTTAGTAATCTAGTTATGACCAATGCCATCCATCATGGGGCAAAAGCCCCATGACGGATGGCATTTTCATCTGCAGAGGAAAGAACATAAGGCATCACATCGTTATAGCATGTATGTAATGGCATATATACAACATGCTATTTAGAAGGCTCGATTCAACTTTGTCAAATGCGTGATGTGACCATACAGACTGGGCCAAAAGAGTACATCCTTTCTAATTTGATTGCTACATCCATACTAGTTAAAACATGCTCATAGAATCTGGAAGGTCCAAGCCAGTACCATGGCGTAAATTAAAACCTATTTTTAGAAGTCAGCCATTAACAAGTCGTATTTGGAATCATTCCTCCAGGAATTGGCTTATAAATACTCAATCACCATCTGTAATAAAAAAGGGAGGGCATGATTATTTTATTGCCTATGAGTTATTCATCTTCATTACAGGACAATGGACCACCTGCACCTAGAGAGATCGTAAAAAATGCACCCTCACGCAAAGGAGACAAAATGGGTGGGCTGGGCCAGGGAAGAGATAATACTACAGCACCATTTTTTGTTGCTTGGTCTGTGTATTTGCTTGCGATTGCTAAGGCTTCATGAGAGGAATCCTTTGAACAACAAAAAAAAGACTATATAATCCCCTCTTTCCCATCCATGTCAATTTGCAAAATAGGACTTCGTATCCCAAGTCTGAAAATAAAAATTGCCACTCTGAAGGCAACTGGAAACATCAGAATAGATTGAACACAATGGTGAATATCTCCCTGAAAATAAATAGGATAACGAACATCGGTGTCTACATTGCTGACTGGCAGGTAGGCTAGCAAGGGCCAAAAATTTTGAAAAACTCTCATTTCCATGAAGAGTATGTATAGGATGGCAATACAGTAAAAAATAATAATAATAATAAAAGAGGTAGGGGGTTTTTAATCACAGTCTTGACCTAAACCAAAACTAAACCCTGTTATAATGAAGTCCAAGGGACAGGAACAACAATTTACTATAAAGAGGTTTTACTTGAGGAATTTATGCACCAAACTCAAATGAAGTCCTTGCATGTGGAATATTGGAGACAGGACCGGCCCTAGCTATTTCGGTGCACTGTGCAAGGAGACTCCCAACACCGCCCCCCTCCCCTTCGGATTTGACCCTTTGCCCTTCGGGAGGGGGATGAGGTGGGGGACCCCCGAAGGGAGATGGGTCAAAACCTAGCGTTCAAAAAGACGCCGAAGCGGAGAGCATTTCCAGTATCTGAAGTAAAACTGAGGGTGGCATCCGTTATTGCTCATTCATTCTGGCACGTTTTGGCGCGCCTGGTGAATTTGCACCCCGTGCGGAGGCACATGTGGCACATGCCTAAGGCCGGCCCTGATTGGAGATATATGTACTGTACAATACATGAGTAGTAGTGGCTACATTTTCTCAAATGCAAAATGAAGCACAGCTAACTTACACCTTTTTTTTTTTATCAGGCCAAGGTATTTGGCCTTTCCAGAGGAAAACATTATAACAGACAATATAACATAAGCTAGTGGCAGGTGTCAACAATCGGTCGGGTCTCTAATGAACAACAGAGGGGAGGAGTCGATTGCAAGTAATAAAGATATGGCTGGGATACTTAACGAGTCCTCCGCCTCTGTTTTCACTGTGGAATCCTACGAAGCACCAACCTTGGCGGAGGTGACTTCGGCGCGCATTGCGGCTATTTCCATCACCGAGGAGACGATCGTGAGCAGATCGTGAGTGTGATGGGGGAAGTTGAAGGCGGGCAAGGCGACCGGTCCCGGCGGGATTCCTGCTCGTGTCACCGTGGAACTCGCGGGAGGAATATCGGTTCCGCTAGGAATTATATTTGAAAGCAGCTTTTCAAGCGGTTAAGTACCGAAGGACTGGAGGCTTGCGAACGTCGTATCGATCTTTAAGAAGGGTGAAAAGAGTAATCCGGGGAATTATAGGCCAGTAAGTCTTAACGGGTATCCCGTGGAAGCTCATGGGAAGCATCCTAAGGGATCACATTTTGGATTTCCTGGAAGGAAACGCGCTCATCCGGGACTCAGCACGGCTTTAGGCGTCGTAATTGCCTCACAAATTCGCTCGAATTCTACGATTGGGCGACGGAAGAGAGGGATAAAGAGAATCCCGTGGACATCGTCTATTTACGAGATTTTTACAATATTTAGATTTCGCGAAATTTTTCGATACCGCTCTTCACAAGAGGTTGCGGGTTGAACTGGAGACGCACGGGATCCAGGGTAGGACGAGCGAGTGGATCAGTCACCGGCTGACAGGAAGAGAGCAACGAGTATTGGTAAATGGGGAAGCGTCGACGGAGGTCGGCGTCGCGAGCGGGGTCCCTCAGGGCTCGGTCCTCCAACCGCTTCTGTTTCTGGTCTGCATAAACGATTTGGACCTAGGCGTAGAGGGTATGATGAGTAAATTTGCCGACGACACCAAAGTTGGTTTTTCTGTAAGGGGGGAGGTGGATAGGGATAAAGCCGAGCGAGATTTGAGTCTTTTGGATGAGTGGAGCAAGAAATGGCTCATGAGGTTCAATAAAAGGAAATTTAAAGTTCTCCAAGTCGGTCTAAATAACGGCAGGACTCTCGTCGCGTTCGGCGAGGATAAACTGTGGGAGGCAAACGGAGAGAAAGATCTAGGAGTTTCTATCGACGAAGACCAAGTTTTCCTCGCACGCGCAGGTGACAGTGGCTAAACGTAACAGGATGCTAGGTTTCATCCGTCATTCAGTTGCAAGTAGGAACTCGCGCGTAATTCTTCCGTTGTATGCGGCGCTGGTAAGACTCAAGTTGGAATATTACATCCAGATTTGGAGGCCTACAAGTAAGGGTGAATTGTTGGCGCTCGAGAGGGTACAGAGGAGGGCTTTAAGAAAGACCAAGGTTAGGGGGCTTCCGTACGAGAAGCGCTTAGAAGTGCTGGGACTGTATTTGCTCAAGATAAGGTTAAGGAGGGGCGATCTCATCCAGGCAAATAGGTGTTACCGCCTCAAAATACTACTAAACTACCTTGAAAAGAGGTTTTTACTTTAAAGAGGGTTATTATGAGGATTGACTTTCACTGAGGGGAGTACAAGAGATTCTTTTTTATATCATGGGCATTCAACTGGTAATAAAAAAGTGTGGCACTCTGGTGAGAACTTCAGGTGATTCATTGAGCTATGTATATGCTATACTCTAAATTTAACCCTAATCCAAATTCAAACATTGCTCATGATTTTCCTTGCCTCGCCTCTTGCAATGCAGAATGTACTATCTTCATGGCAGAGACATTCAATGCATGGTTCATCCTGTCACTGCCCGATTGAAAGACAGAGGCATAATCTCAAGCATGCTTGATAATTCTTTATTAGAAATGCATCATCTCCAATCACAGAGAAATACCAAGCAGCAAAAAAATTATAGAAAAAGTAGTTCCAGGATGAAGATAAACAATTATCACATTTATTGTGGGGGTTCATGATCTTCTAACTCATTCATAGATTAAGCTTTCACTGTTTGTGCATCCCTAAAAGGTATCAATTCCCAAATCAACTTTGGAATGCCTTGTCTTAGAGTTACACAGACCTGTAGGAAAGCATCACAACCCAACTCTTTATGGAGTGTGAGTATACTAAAGAAGTAATCTGGTTGGCCATTCTTGCCTCAGGACAAAAGCCAGTAATCAACAAAGCAAGTGTATTAAGAAAAGGGAAACTAATAAAATCATAACAAATACAAGTAATCATCATCTATGGATCTGAATATGAGGAGCAAACTTCTCCATATGTTCTGAACCTTGATCACCAATCAAGTATAAGTTGACTTGTGATCTCATCATACAAGATTCCCCATCATTCAATGTCACAATGGCAAGTCTTCAATTTTGTGAGCAAGAAGTTCCTGAATCTCTTTCTGAGTAATCATATTATGTGGCTTACAGGGTGGGTGATCGCATGATTTTCCTCATCTTAGGAGGATAATGTATGAATCCACTCGAATGATGAAAATTTCATAACAAATACGTATATAATATGAAGAAAAAAGTAATAGAAACAGAGCATGAGAGCACCTCAATGGATTTGCACGAGTTGTCTCTCTCTCGCACCTCACCCAGGAATGAAGGTCTGTGTATGCACTGATAGTCAAGTCTTCCTAGCAAGTGACATCACGTCATTGTTCCAAACACTGGATTGTGCCTGCATATTCCAGGTCCCTGCTCCTCATAGGCAGCCTTGGTGTGACACACCGAATAGAATTCGGGCTGGTAGGGAAAAAGAACAAAGAATATTTTTGAGTGACTATCTCAATAAAAACCAAAAATGGGAGGTTGAATCATAGTGTCCAAGCATAGATATAGTTCTGAGCCAACCCAGAGTTTGACAAGAAATTCAGAGTACATATTAAAAGAAAAATATAGCATACTACAAATGAAGAGAAAGCACATGTCAAGCTCTCATGATTGGATAAATCTTTTTCTTTAAAGTCATGATTATCTTAGAGCCTTGGCATGTTGAATATAAACGTGATCACTATTGCCTCCACATAAACTCAATATGACTCATGTGGTGAGGGCCTTTTTAACTTTTGGCAATTGGTATTTGTCCTTGACAGTATCAAAACAAAAGATGTTCAATTTTGGCCACCTTGTTCATCAACCACAACAATGGTTTGTCTCTAAAGCCAAGCATGGTGCTAGGCCTGTCAAACATTTGCTTCCAGAAGATCAAAGAGGAAGTTGCTGATTCTCCTGGTTTGAGATATTGTCATCTACAATCAAGTCTTCATCATTCTGAGATGACCATAGCCTCCTGCTTCTTAGATTCTTGACATTGTGCCTGTGTCCTTGAATTTCATGACTGCATGATGGATGCTATCAAGTGTTCTGTTCTTACAGGGCAAGGAAGCTATAATTCATTTCCTTCTTTTGAAATGCTCCTGGCAGAGTGCAAAAATTATACCTTGGTCACAGGGGCCCAGTTGAGGCATGCCTGGAAGTGGAACTAGAGCCTATTTAAACCTCCAATGAATTGGTACAATTACACACTGAACACATAACTTCCACATGCCCATCTTTTAACATGTTGATCACCAAGGGGTTTGGTACCCCTTGGTTGGAACAAGTTAATCTGGAAATTTCCAGTTATGAATGGTGCAATTTGTAAAATGTGAAATCTCACATCATGAGGATTATGATGGACAAGACATGGTTAGCCAATTATCTCTATATGTTTTGAAATATCTGCATACATTTTCATTCTCACATGATTAAAATTATTTCAACTGCATCAAGTGACTTAGGTGAACACCATCTTATTTATGCTGGGAAAGTTTAATCTGATCCACAAAAAAGTGAGACTTGTATATTAGTGAAAAAAACAGAATATTTTTTTGGGAAGCATTTTCAAAATTACAATGATGAGGGAGGTTTCCAATATATAATTTTCTGCAAGGTATCCCGAACAAAGATAGGAAAGTACTTATGAAACATCAGGCTGCTTATGAGCAGAATTGATTCCTTACCTATTCTGCCCAGCCACACACTCAGCATATTGCAATGAATGAGGGAGAAGGAGAGACCTTTAAAATCCCAAGTTAAAAAGGGGGTATTGTCTGCTTTTGATGTAACTTGGCTGTCAGTAAAGAAAAGCAAGTCAGTCACAACTTAATTGCATTTCAAAAACTAACCATAAATACTCAAGTTTCAATGATGACACACTCCCTTGAATGGATGCTATTTTGATTGAGGGTATTATTGTACTAGCATTAATATAAACTTCTTGAACTGCACTTAAAAATTACATGGAAAATGAATGAGATCTATTTAAAATATTGCATCTAAAATGCACTTACGAAGTTTTCAATACTCACCGTTGATGCAAGCATGGATCCTCCAAACCAAACTGCATACCTCTGCATATGATGACTGACAACTTGCACATCAATGGGCTTTGGCTATGAAAGAAAATGGATAGTGCCCATCAGCATCAAGATGATGTTTCAACTTTATGCCACTGAATAAATGTGTACTGGTACAAGTGCCAATAGGACAGAGAATCAGTAACTGGATGACAATGCTAGGTACTTAGGGTTTTCCTGAGTTGCAAGACATTCTCTTTCATGCAAGTCATATGGGACTTGCTTGGCCTAGTGGAAGTATGTATAACTGAACATTAGACCTAGTTCATACTCCTGTATAGCATTCTGGATGCTGGACAGAGTAGTGCACAGTAGACAGCAAAACCATGCAGACAGCAAAACAGCATATTGCTTCCAACAGCTGCAGCTCTGCATCTGCTGTACTGTAAGTTCTACTGAAATCTCAGAAACAGTAATGATTTCTATTCAGTTCAGTAAGATTAAGGGTTTGACGACCGCAAAGCCTCCATGCATGGAGCTTGGTACTCTTTTGCTATAGTAAAGAAAAAATGTGGGAAAAGGTAGAAACACATCTTATAACATTCATACAGAATATGAAATGTGTTATTGACAACAGCTGTGGCTGCTCCAACTCAAACGGCTGTTGGGGACTGTTGCAGCAGTTTTCCAAAGGGAGACTGCCATTTTCTCCCTGATGAAACAAAAACTCATGATATAACAAGTAATTTTATATATGCTGCAAAAGAGTTGCTAAATGTGTGCCTGAAAGCCCATTCAAATCAAGGCCCTACAGCCTGATTTACAGCATGTTCAAGTCAATAGCTTGGTTTTTTTGAGCCACCCTGTAGTATAATTAAAACCTGACAAAATCAGAAGTACAAAATGTCCACCTCCCATGTGGATTTAGAACCAGGTGGATGTCTTCCTAGGCAGTATTTCCCCATTGGAGGGATGTCCACCTCGGGGTAAATCGACCCAGGAGGGAAAATCCACCTGACTCAAAATACAGGTGAATATCCACCAGGGAAGAATGTCCACCTATTTCCAAATCCACCCCCTATCCAGCTGGTTGTTTGACCAGCTGGACAGGGGTTTGACATTTTGTAAGGGTACCTTTGTAGTATACAGTGTGCTTAATTTTCCTGAAAAACTGACTGGTAAGCACCTGTTTTTTTTTTTGTTTTTTTTTTTGGGGGGGGGGGGGGGGGAATTCCCCTCTTTTTACCGGTCACCTGTCAGAACCAGCCAAATTTAG